ACTCTCGGTGGTTAGGCTCAGAGAGAGAACCCATGAGGATAATTGAAGTTTGGGAAGGTAGAGGCTGGGTCTCTTTCCAGGTGGGAATGGATTTGTGCTGATCCTTACCATTAAGTTAGCATAAAGGTTAGATTTGCCCACATTGGCCCCTTCCCCCTCCCCCCGCCTGTATAATTGGTACACACACACATTAAATAAACTCATTGCCATTAAATCACATAGGAGGAGATTATCCATTGTTCTCCTGTGTTGTGCTGGTGGATTTGAACCACTGGCCTTGGGGTTGGTAACACAACTCCTTTCCCTCTAGGCCGCCAAGACTCCCTTATATATATATTATCGAGAAATGTATAATTCTTATATAGAAATCAATGTAATTGATTTTCTTTGCTCCTTTTATTTCTTTTGAAAAATGTATTTCCCCTCATTGTTGCTTTTCAGCAGCATTTCATTGTTCTGGTATATATTCAATTTCTGCTTCATCCACGTTGCCCCAGGCACTAAGTGTTCTAGCTCTTTTCATAGCCATGTTTTTTAAAGAGCGTTCCAAGATGGGGAGGTCCTGATCCCATTTCACTGTCAGCTTTCCGGGGAGGGGCAGGGTCCTGATCCCATATCACTGTCAGCTTTCAGGGGGGAGGGTCCTGGTCCAGTTTCACTGTTAGCTGTCTGGGAGGAGGGGATCCTGGTCCTATTTCAGTGTCAGCTTTCCCAGCATGGTGGTAGGCCACCAGTCACTTGTCCTCACCACAGTTTCCTAGCTCTGTCTGTTGGGAAAATAACATATTATAGCTTTACTGCATTCGTTCTTTCACTGTTTGGGCCAGCAAAGAGATAAAGAATTGATGAAGCATAGTGGTGACGGATGGCTTTGGTTTGTTCAGTGTGTGATGGCTTCCATCAACACAACATTTAAGTGGCTCTAGGGAAGAGTGGTATATACTGAGCTCGTGAGATTAGCCCAACATTGCAGAATTCGTCTGAGGGGGCAGGGGAAGTGGGATAGCAGGCGTGTTGCCGGAAGCCCCACTCTCTCCCTCTTTGAGTTCTCACTCTCAGTAGGCAGTTTCTTCTGTTCTCATTGAAGTGGAAGCAGCTCCCAGGATTATGTCCTCTTATGTAGAACTAAGAGGCTTTGAGTGAAAGAGATAGAATACCATGCACAAGTCTCGATGAAGTAAATGCAGAATGAAATGTTGTTGTTGTTGTTGTTGTTATGTGCCATCGAGTCGTTTCCGACTCATAGCGACCCTATGCACAACAGCTCTAAACCCTGCTCTATCCTGCGCCAACCGCACCGCCTCTGACACACCCATCCCGATTACCCCAGTCACCGAATCAATCCATCTCATAGAGGGTCTTCCCCTCCTGCGCTGTCCCTCCACCCTCCCAAGCATGATGTCCCTCTCCAAGGACCCGTCCCTCCTGGCAACATGTCCAAAGTATGTCAGACGAAGCCCCAGAATCCTTGCCTCCAAGGAGCAGCTTGGTTTAATCCTCTCCAAGATGGATCTGTTTGTTTTTCTGGCAGTCCAGGGTACATTCAGTACCCTTCTCCAGCACCACAGCTCAAAGGCATCCACTCTCCTTCTGTCCTCCCTAGTCATTGTCCAACTCTCTGATGCATAACAAGCGATTGCAAATACCATGACCTGTATCAGGCGCACCTTAGTCTCCAGAGAGACACTCTTGCTCCTGAGTACGTTTGAGAGGTCCCTAATGGCAGACTTTCCCATCGCGATACGCTTTTTGATTTCCTGACTGCTGGTACCAAGAGTGTTAACTGTGGAGCCGAGCAAAGTGAAGCTGTGAACACTCTCAATCTCTTCATCATCCATCCTGACGCTGCCAATTGGTCCAGTGGCGAGAATCTTTGTCTTCTTGACGTTGAGCCTTAGTCCATACTGAAGGCTGCAGTCCTTGACCCTTCGCAGTGTGTTATTTGAAATAACGGAATTTATTTGCTATCTGGAAGTTGAGTGTTTCAGCACTGGACAGGTTACTAAACTACCTCCTGTAACTCTCACAGAAAATTGTCCATTTTTCTTTCCTGGAGCTGCTGATGAATTTGAACTATGAGAAAAGTGCCACCTTTGGATTAGCAGCGCAGCTTCCTGTGGACTGTGCAGCAAGAGCTTTTTAAAAACTTGACGTGCTATTGACTAGAAAAAGAGACATGGCCTTCATTTGGCTTGTAGTTTTAGTCTACCCACTGCTGCCAAGTTGATTCTGACTCAAGGCAAGCCTCCATCAGCTTTCTGAGGCTATAAATTAATGAGAGGAGCTTGCCCATCATTCTTCTTCAGAGCAGCTGGTGGATTTGAACTGCTAACCTTTCAGTTAATAGTATAACATACTACATACTATGCCACCAAAGCACTGTGGTTTGGTTGAGCAGTAGGAATAAGCTTGGACTTAAAATGGTTCAGGGTAGTGTACTTTTTGCCAAGTATCCTTTAAATATGTTTTCCAAGAAAATATCTCCAGTGTATCCTTAAGCTTGGATTCTTCTTCCTGCTAGTAAAACAGGAGTCCAGGCTTTTCTGTGCAAGCATGGAGAAAGGTTTATTGGGGAAAATACAAAGCGAAACTACTTTGCAAAGGAAGATGAGGAGGAATGAAGCCAGCCCATGACTCATTCAACTCAGAAAAACCTCAAACACATAGCTGTCAAGTTGAACTGATTCATAGTGGATCCTCCAGTGGGATTTCAAAGGCTGTAAATTCCATGAGAGGAGATTGCCCACCCTTCTTCTGTGGAGGTGCTGGTGGATTTAAACTGCCATGACTCACTGGACATAATAAGATTTAAGTGAGGAGTTTCATTTTTATTCATAAGGGAAGGTGAAAAATTCCAGAAAATGGCCCATATCAGAGGAGTTTTGAAGTGCACACACAGTTGGTTCTCCATGATGAATATTGTTGCAGAGGCTCTGGGTCAAGAGACATGACTTAGCATGGAATGCTGCACACATGTTGTCTAGCAAGGTTCTCTGGATTGATTTCTGTGGTAGAGAGCTTTACTTCTTGCTTGGAAAGGCCAGCTCTCAGTCATGAGTGGTGTTTCTGTACATGCTGCAAGAACTGATTCAGCCTGGTCTCAATTTAGATAAGGTTTTAAGGACATTGATCCACAGAGAACAATGTCTTATCACAGGAGAGGGTTTGCAGTCACCAGACGTTAATACAGAATAGCATTTAAGGCAATAGAAGTGTATCTGGAGGGGCAAGAGGATGCAGTTCCAAGGTGAGCTATGCTCCTTTACCTAGTTTAGCCTTTTAGCACTTATTTAGGAGATGAGACTTTTTAAAAGTACCATTTATTTAAATAACAAGATTTTTCAATGTGTGTCTTCCTCAGGGTTGTTTAAAGTTGGTTGGGTTCCCTCCCCCCAAATATAAATAGTGGTAACTAACTATATGTTTTCTATCTTAATAGCACCAACTGCTGTAAAGCAGTGCTGCAAATAATGCTTGAATAAAAGTGGCCAAGTTAACAACAAAAAAATACTTTTTATATTAGTTTTAAAATTCTTAAATTTGAATGCTTTCCAAATTGCACTTGCATTTAAAGAAAACTGTTGCCGTTTCTACTCTTATTTATTTTGTTTCCCATGTTTATGTACATACTGCACAGTTTTCAAAGCCTGGTAGATAATCTGTCACTATGCTTCTGTAGTCTGTTCCACATCCAGCTATCCAGAGAACAACAAAATTCAAGCTTTAGGAAATACTTCAAAAATTTCATGCATGCATGCAATTTGACCTATCTGAACATGGTTTATGTTTGTTTTATTTTTGTCTATTTATGGTGGGAGGTGGTTGGAAACTTTTAATAAATAAGTGGGGTGTTAATTTTTGTATAGTCTGTGGGCATTTACACCTATTTTTAATGTATTAAAATTGGTGATTATGTACACATTAAATTAATAAAACAGCAGTTTTCTGTTATGATTTGTGAATTCCCTAAGACCTTGGGTTTTTTAAAATACCTTTATATAAAAAAATGATAATACATCTTTATATTTTTAAAAGCATATTGCTGCTCAAGAATGGTACCCTGTTGTCAGAAAGGCATACATTCATAATTGTACATTTAACATTGTAAATAACCTTATGAAATATTTTTTGATTGATGCTATTCAAAATAAAATTTAAATGAAGTAAAAAAAAAAGTACCATTTATTTACTGTCAGTGTATTTGGTGAGGTAGCATTCACCCAGTTTGTAACCCAAACCTTGCCTTGGTTTCAGTGTAACATTAGTGTGATTAAACATGTAAGAATCTCTCATTTCTCATTCTTACATAAAAATCTCTCCACAGTGTTAAAAGTAGGCTTTTAATCAAGTGACTTTCCCAGCCAAGTATTGTACCAGATACTTGGTTTTCTTACTGAGTGAAGATGGAATTGTGTGTCTGTGTGGAGGCGGCCCAGTGGTTGTGGCCCTTCTCTGAGCATTGTCTGATTAATTCTCCCTTCCTCCTCTCCAACCCCTATCATTCCTTTTCCTCTCACCCTCCCTCCTTCTTTCACATACACACCCCAACCCGAAACCTTCCCTACACATAAGCAACTGAAAAACTTGTGATACCAGAGTTGGGGTCTCATAGGAAACAGGACAGACCTCTCAGCAGGTCAGGCATGGAAACAGGCTTCAAGCTTAACTGTGCCCAAGGGTGGGGCTGGGTGACATCCTCTATGCTAGTGGGGGCTGGCATGGCTTTGAATCCCCTGCTGATGCCCAAAGAGAGAGCAGCCAGCTTCCTTTAGTGTGCTCTGATGGGGGAGGTAAAAGCAGTCAGTAGTCATATCAGGAAATGGACTCAGACCCCTGATTATACAGTTTAAAGAGAAGTCTTTTGCCAGGGCTTTCAGAGGAAGTGTGAGGAATATATTCCACCAAGCTGTGTGTGTGTGTGTGTGGGGGGGGTGTGTGGTATGTATACCAGCTATCAAAAAGGCATATCTGCTGACTTTATGCCTCAATCCTTTGTCTAGGCCTCATTACCAGTACATAACCAGGTTTTACCTTCAATTGAGAGTGTGGACGGTTCAGACCCTTTAGCAACTCTTCAGAATCCCATCGGGAGATTAGAGGCAAAAGAGGAAGAGGATGAGGATGAGGACTCTGAAGAATATGAGGAGGAAGATGTTGAAGACACAGACATGGACGACTGGGAACCAGATCCACCTCGGCCCTTTGACCCTCATGACTTATGTAAGTTCAAGACACTCATCTTCAGAGGAAATAATAGATGTTTCGTGTGTGTGGGGTGTGTGTGATAATAATCCAAAAACAAAAGGGAAAAATTGTTGCTATAGGACAGTGGCTGCGGGACAGAGGCTGCAGGACAGTGGCTGTAGGACAGAGGCTGAAGGACGGAGGCTGTAGGACGGAGGCTGAAGGACAGTGGTTGTAGGACAGAAGTGTAGGACAGAGGCTGCAGGACTGTGGCTGAACGACAGAGTCTGTAGGACAGAGGCTCCAATTTCTTTCTGAGTAGATTGCACTTGATGAGTGAGAAGTGGGTTGGCATTTTAGCCTGAGTTTCTCTCAGAACAGAGCTTGAGCTCCTAATTGCTATTGTAAATTTTTCAAATCCTGGAATATTCAGGTCATTTCGGTTTTAACAAGTTTGCTCTTTTGTCTTACCTCTCTATATTAGAATCTTTGTAAACATGTGCTATATTCTACACACAGCTTTAGATTTATTAGTGTTGCCCAGGCTTGTGAACAACTCTACCACATAGAAGGTTCAGTGGTTTTCCAGGGTTTGCATGAGGATCCAGGCTACAGACCTGGCTTTGTTGTTCCCTTGACTACACGCTGGGCTGTCACCTGCCATGCCCTTCTGCATTCTTAACTCCTCACTCTTTGAACCTTGAGGTTGTTCAGAAGTTGCCAAACTCACTGTTTTTCTCCTGGGGCCTGGCTGAGGTATTGGTGGTCAGTGACTTAAGTGACCCAAGAGATAACTTTTGTTTGTTTTTCCTTTAATAAGGTTCAAAGGCAACCTGTTGCTCAAATGGATGTAAAGCTACTTTATTTTGTAGATAGTAATAAGTAGGTTATCCTTTGCCATTGAATTGATTCCAACAGAGTGACCCTATAGCCTTCCATACCTTCCTTTGAGGTCTTCTCAGGTGGGTTGGGTTTAGTGCAACAATGAATGAATGGAAATCCAAAGTCTGTAATTTTTCATTAAAATTAATAATGAATATTTTTGAATGTTGGAATGTAAATTCATTCTCATTTACAATCTTACACTCAAACTTTTAAAAGTTAATAGAAAATTTATAAATCATACTGAGTTTTCATTCAATCATTCAGAATATTGTTTCTCGAAAATGTCTCATTTGAGTTTTGAGTGTAGCTGCCAGCTGTCTGATTCTCCCACTCTTTTATTTGATTTTTTTCTACAGCATGTTGAAAGAAACTATCTTTCCTTGAGGGGAAAATAAATGTCTCTTTTGACAATGAAAAAATTTATTTTATATTGGTTTGCTTACAAAGTTGATATACATTGTGTTTCCCACTATTCTTCATTCACATTGTGTTTCGTACAGTCATTGCTCATGTGGATTTGCTTTTATTATTATTATTTGTTTCTTTTTATCAATAACTATATTGCAACATAGTATACATATTATAGGGAGCTCTAGTGGTAAAAAGCTGCAGAATAGTCCTGAAAGCATGTGGTTCAAATCCACTAGCCATTTTGTGGGAAAAGGGTAGGCAATCTCCTACCATCCAGTTTACTGTGTCTGAAAACCTGCTGGAGGGTCAGCTATGAGTTGATTCCAATGTGATAGGACTCAACAATACTATACATACTGTAAGGAGCTCTGGTGGCCTTAGCAGTCAGGAGCTACACTGCTATCCCAAAGGCATGCAGTTCATATCCACTAGCTGTCTTGTGGGAGAAGGATGGACAATCTCCCCCCATGTCATTACACTACCTCTGAAAATCCACTGGAGGGTCAGCTATGGGTTGGTCCCAGCTCAACAGTGCACAACAACATACATACTATAAAATGCATACATTTTCATTCAGCATAATGAGTTGTTTTTTTCTTTTCTTTTTGGACATAGTAATTTATAAATTTCATGGTAATTAGTTTAATTTTAGAGCACTCTGATGTCATAGTCAGTAGGGAATTGTGCTGATAACCCCAAAGCTGTGCATCTTGGGAGATTCCAATCCTCCAGCAGGTATTGGGGAGAAAGAAGGGTGAGCTCTCTCACCCTAGTTAGGATTTAAGTGTTGGATATCTGATCGAGGGTCACTGTGAGAAGGAACTGACTCCAACTGAACAATAGTCGACTTGAGCTGGGGTTTAATCCTAGAGTGTAGTTCTTCCACTGAACCACATGCAGAATTCATCTAACTCCATTTAATTATGACACAGAAGCTTTCATAGACCAACACATCCTATTATTTTTCTCTAAAATTCAGTTGTATGGGTCAGGTGTAGCTCAGTATGGCTCAGATGGTTCAGGTATGATTTAGTTGTGACTCATTGTGGTTCAGATGTGGCTCAGCTCAATGTGGCTCACTGTGGTTCAGGTGTGACTCATTGTGGTTCAGGTGTGGCTCAGTATGGTTCAGGTGTGGCTCATTGTGGTCCAGATGTGTTTCAGGCGATTCACGTGTGGTTCTTTGTGGTTCATTGTGAATCAGCGGATTGAGGTACAGTTCATTGTGGTTATGTTGGCTCAGCCATGGTTCATTGTGGTTTAGTGGTGAAATTCTTGCCTTCTATGCAACAAACCCTATTCAGTCCCAGCCAGTGTATCTCATGCAGAACCACCAACCCTCAGTCAGGGAAGTTTGCATATTGCTGTGATGTGGAACAGTTTCAGTGTGCCTTCCAGACTAAGACTGACCAGGAGAAAAGGTCTGCTGGTCTACTTCCCAAAATCAGTCTGAGAAAATCCCATGAATTAGCATGGGATAACAATGAGTGAAGTTGACCTGTCTCACTACAAGAGTTTAATTTCTGCAGTGAGCTGAATCACTGCATGCATACAATTTTTTTGCCAATATATTTTAAGTCTGCCTGATTTTAGGAGAAAAAGAATTGGATTTTATTAATCTGTGAAAATCAGTACAGTTTAATTGAATTTTGAGTTAGGTGAATTTTGGCTTTGAAAACACAAATGTAGGGGTTTTCCAAGTCAAGCCATGATTTTTGACTGTGGTTTAAGGTTTTCTTTCTTTTGCAGGGTGTGAGGAGTGTAACAATGCTCATTCGTCAGTGTGTCCAAAGCATGGCCCGTTGCATCCTATCCCCAACCGGCCAGTGCTCACAAGAGCCAGGGCCAGCCTGCCTTTGGTCCTCTACATAGACAGGTTCCTGGGAGGTGTCTTCTCCAAGAGGCGCATCCCCAAACGCACCCAGTTTGGTCCTGTGGAGGGTCCCCTGGTCCGAGAGTCTGAGCTGAAAGACCGTTACATTCACCTAAAGGTAATTTGTACTTCATCACATATCACAAATGTTAAATGCTCATTAACATTTTCCTACTTGAGTCTCTTATTTCAGAATCATAGTATCTCTTCACTTGCATTTGCATTTTCCCCCCTACATGTAGTTGGTTTTAAGTAGAAACTTTATCACCAATGAAGTGGCTTAGTGATAAGGAATTGAGCTGCTGAAACAGAGGTATGCTGTTCGAATCCACCAGCTACTTCTTGGGAGAAAGATGGGCATTCTCCAGTGTAGTTTGCTGTCTCTGCACACCCACTGGAGGGTCAACTATGAGTAGGTTCCAACTTAACAGTCCATAACAACAACAAGGCATTACCTGAGTAAATCTGAGAAGTATAGTTTTTTAGGTACAGTTTTTATGCTTTTTATTTTGCACTAATTTGACTGGAATGCAGAGGATTTTATAGATTCCAGTAATGCTTGCTGAAATTGAGGACCTGAAGCACTTGCTTCAGAAGGTCAAGGACTACAGCCTTCAGTATGGATTGAAGCTCAACATCAAGAAAACAAAGATTCTTACCACTAGGCCAATTGGTAGCATAATGATAGATAGTGAAGAGTTTGAGATTGTTAACAGCTTTAGTTTGCTTGGCTCCACAATCTAGCAGCCAGGAAATTAAAAGACGAATTGCGTTGGGAAAGTCAGCTTTCGGAGACCTCTTCAAAGTACTGAAAAGCAACGATGTCAGTCTGGAGACTAAGGTGCACCTGATTTAGGCCATGATCTTTGCAATTACTTTCTATGTGTCAGAAAGCTGGACAGTGACTAGGGATGCTAAAAGGAGAATTGGTGCCTTTGAGCTGTGGTACTGGAGAAGAGTATTTAATATACCATGGATGGCTGGGAGAACAAACAAGTTCATCCTAGAGAAGGTGAAACCAGGCTACCTCTTAGAGGCCAGGATTCTGAAGCTTCGCCTGACATACTTTGGACATGTTGCAAGGAGATACCAGTCCCATGCTTGAGAGGGTGGAGGAACAGTGCAAGAGAGGAAGACCCTCGATGAGATGGCTTGATTCAGTGACTGCAGTAATGGAGGTAACTGTGTCAGAGACATTAAGATTGGCAAAGGATAGAGCAGGGTATAGGGATGTTGTACATAGATAGGGTCACTATGAGTTGCAAGTGACTCAGTGGTACATATCAACAACAGTAATGGTTTTAGGTAAATTACTTTTCAGGTTTTTTTTTAGTTATTAACAGTGGATCTGCTGTGTGGAATGAATCTTTAGTTACAGAATATTGCAGCTTATGATAAAGTATGTTTAACAGTGCTCTCTGTTTTCTGCTTGTTGATGATTCTCACTGAAAACTAAAGAAGGATAGTGGAAAGGGGAGAATATTTGAATGTGTTTTTTGATAAATTAGTTGCTGTCATGGGAACGTTTTCTTAGGTACAAAATCTCCAAGAAGGAATATCTACGTGTAAAGAAAAATACCTGTCACCTGGCTACAGATGGTAAATTAATGCATTTGAATCCTAAAAAGAGGCAAGTTATAATGATATGTAGTGATGTTTGCTTGCATTTTTTTTTCTGGATTATTTATAGAATACTTCAGTGTGTTAGTTTTGTGAAATATTATATGAATCTCCACAATTAGATTGTTAATTTTTAAGCGCTCCCATAGTTGAATAAGAGTATCTCTTCTTATTTCCATTTGACAAGTCACAATTGCAATATCTTTTTAGGTACAAAAGGAAGAATCAGGTTCATAGTAATTTTAAGAAACAGTTTTTCTGTCATGTCATTTAAAGTATGTCACATTAGAAAGTTTTTCTCTTACTTTAGGTGTAACTTTTTACTTTCTCTTTGATTACAGATTTCTCTTGATAAAGGGGACAGAAAAGACCGGGATTTGCATGAAGACCTGTGGTTTGAGTTGTCTGATGAGACTCTTTGTAACTGGATGATGTTTGTCCGCCCAGCCCAGAATCACCTAGAACAGAACCTGGTAGCTTACCAATATGGCCACCATGTATATTACACAACAATAAAGAACATAGAGCCCAAGCAGGAACTTAAGGTGCGTGCGGGGGCAGCACTACTGTTTGCTAGATAGGCTCTTCCTGCTTTTTTGCTCCAACAGTGGAATTTTTACTAAATGAGCTTTCCCTTTTACTTCATTTACTTATTAAACATGTACTATTTTTAAAAAGGAAATACATATACTATAATAGTCCTGTAAATAAAACGTAGTGAGAACTACAAAGTTTTGTACCTATGAAAACATTGAAAAATTGGGCTACTTGTTTTGGGGACCAGATTGGTATTTGTTTGTGGAGTGATAAAAGATGAGAGTCACCGTTTATCCACATTTAAAAAAAAACACCAAAAACATTTGCTAGGAAACAAGAATTTTTGTAAAATAGGATTCACATGTATTAGTGCAATTCTTTTCTTTGTTTAAATGCTTCATTGTACGTAACAATTCTTGTACTGCTTCTGATATTAGGGATTTATTTTTGGAGGGTAGTTTCTGTGTTGGAATTTATCTAAATGATAACTCTTGGCCATGAAATTTTTGCCATGATTCTAAGGTAAAATTGTTTTGAGATGAGTTAATTTTCTAAAAAGCTGTGAACACTGAATGGCACAGTGCCTCCTTGTGTTAAGACTTGGCTAATGGGGTGAAAATACATTGTAATGTTCGGATATAAATAAAAAGCTTTGAAGTTGGAACCAACTCAGAACAGTGAGTTTTCAGAGGCTGTAAATTGCACAAATGGACATTGCCCATTTATCTCCTTCAGAGCAGCTGGTGGATTTGACTCTGTACCTTTGGGTTCGAAAAGGAAGCTCTTGTGGCTTAATGGTAAGGAGTTGTGCTGCCAATCCACCAGCTGCTTGGAGGGAGAAAGATGGGCAGTCTCTTCTGGAGGGTCAGCTGTGGGTTGATTCCAACTTGATGATACTCAACAACATCAACAACAAAAGTTCCCATGGCGGGATAGAACAATAGAAAGTTGAAAGAAAATAATTGCCAGCTAAGGATCCTATACCCAGAAAATTTCTCTATCAAATAAGAGGGAGAAATTAAAACCTTCACAGAAAAGAAATAATTTTACAAATTTGTGAAAACAGGACCAAAACTGCAAGAAATTTTATGTGAAAGTCTTCACAAAGAGATACCAAAGAAAGTGGATGGACCAGAAACAACCAAAAAAGAAGCACAACAAAATGACAATGGTAAAACCTGGCCTGACAGTAATCACACTTAATGTGTGACTAAATGCACCAATTAAGAGAAAAAGAGCAGCAGAATGGATTAAAAAACCAAAGCCCATCAATACATTGCCTGCAAGAGATATATCTAAAAAAGAAGAGAAAGACAGACTCAAAATCAAAGGGCAGGAAAAAATATACCAAACAAATGACAACCTCAAAAAAGCAGGAGTGGCAATACTAATCTCTGTTAAATAGATTTCAGAATGAAAATCACTATAATAGATAAGGAAGGGCATTACATACTTATTAAAGGCACAATAGATCAAGAAGACATAACTTTGGACAACATTTATGCACCAAATGATAGATCTGCAAAATACATAAACAACGTTAACAGAATTGAAGAAAGAAATAGACAGCACTACTATAGTGGTAGGAGACTTCAGCACACCACTATCACCAATGCATAGGTCAACCCAAAAGAACCTCAACATCGATGCAGAAGATCCCAGAGTCACTCAATGAAGCAAGCATAACCCCAAACCAGGCAAGATACTACCAAAAAAAGAAAAATGCAGACCAACATCTTTCATAAATATAGATATAAAAATCCTTAATAAAATCCTAGCCAATAGAATCCAAAAAGATATAAAAAAATAATTCATCATGACCAAGTGGGACTCATAAGAGGTATGTTTCAACGTAAGGAAAACAATGTAATTCACCATATTAACAAAGCAAATAAAAGAAAAGGCATTTGACAAAATCCAACACTCCTTCCTAATAAAGATACTCAGCAAAATTGAAATTGAAGGGAATTTCCTTAACATAATGAAAAGTATATATGTAAAACCAAGAGCCCAATGGAGAAAGACTAAGAGCATTTTCCTTGAAAACAGGAACCAGACAACGATGCCCACTGTCACCACTTCTATTCAAAATTGTATTGGCAGTGCTTGCTAGGGCAGTACTACAAGAGAAGGAAATAAGAGGCATCCAGATTGGCATAGAGATGGTTAAAGTATCACTATATGCAGATAATATGATAGCGTACACAGAAAACCCAAAGGACTCAACAAAAATCTTTTAGAGCTAGTAGACCAATTTAGTAGAGTGGTAGGATAGAAAAATCAGTATCCAAAAATCAGTGGAAATTCCTCTACAGTAACAAAGAGAACTCAGAGAAGGAAACCAAGAAAGCAATACCATTTATGATAGCCAACCACAAACTGAGATACTTGGGATTGAACTTAACTGGAGACATAAAGACCTATACAAAGGATACAGAACATTTCAGCATGACACAATAAAAGACCTAAAGAAATGGAAAAATGTGGTGGTGTTGATTGCCATCGAGTTGAGCACGACTCATAGTGACCCTACAAACAAAAGGCCTGAAGCCTTTCAATAACTGTCAATATTTATTTAAAGTTCATAGTGTCCAGGGGCAGGTTGTTTAGGAAGTGGATGCCACTCCTGGATAGGAGGACTCAATATTGTGAAAATGACAGTCCTACCAAAAGCAATCTACGTATTCAATGCAATTCTAATACAGATACCAAATTTCTTTTTCAAGGAAAATGAAAGGGAAATTGTCACGTTTATTTGGAGAGGAAAGAGACCTCGAATGAGCAAAGCACTTCTGCAAAGCAAAAATCCAAGTGGAAGATATAGCACTCCCTGGCCTCAAAATCTACTACACAGTGGAAGTAACCAAAACATTATGGTACTGGTGCAATGACACATACATAGACAAATGGAACAGAATTAAGAACACAGAAATAGACCCAGCTATCTATGGTCAACTGATATTAGACAAGGAAATAAAACCTACCATATTGGGAAAAGACAGTGACTTCAACAAATGGTACTGGCAAAATTGTACTGCTTCCTGCAGAAAGCTGAAGGAGGATACTCATCTCACACCATACACAAAAATCAACTCAAGGTGGATCAGAGACCTGGGAGTAATGCCCCAAACCATAAAATTCATCAGAGACAAACTGGGATGAAGCTTTGATGGCCTAGCCAATGGTATAAAGAAACTGACAAACACGTCCAAAAATGCACAGTCTGGAGAGGATAAAATTGATGAATGGGACTTTCTAAAGATTAAATTCCAATGTGCATCAAAAACATTTCCAACAGAGTGAAAGGAAAACCCTACAGACTGGGGAAGAAACATTTGGCAATGTCATTTCAGACAAGGGTCTCATATCAAAAGTTTACAGAATCCTATAGGGCCTCTTCAAGAAAAAGATTGATAACACAATTGCAAAATCGGAAAAAAGACATGAAAATAAATTTCACAGAGGAAGATACCCAGATGGCCAATACACACGTGAAGAAATCTTCAAAATCACTGGCAATAGGAGAGATGCAAATCAAAACTACAGTGAGGTACCATTTTACTCTAGTAGCAGTGGCAAAGTCTAACAAGGAGGAAATGTTGGAGAGGATGTGATGAGATAGGAACTCTTATACATTGTTGGAATTTTAAAATGGGTACAACTATTCTGGAGGGAAGTTTGACGTTTCCTCAAAAAGCTGACCATAGAAATTCCATATGTCCCAGCTATTCCACGACTTGGAATATATCCCGAGAGAATGAGAACTGAGCTACAGAGACCTGTACACCAGTGTTTATGACAATGACTTCAACAAATGGTACTGGCAAAATTGGACTGCTTCCTGCAGAAAGCTGAAACAGGATCCTCATCTCACACCATACACAAAAATCAACTCAAGGTGGATCAGAGACCTGGGAGTAATGCACCAAACCATAAAATTCATCAGAGACAAACTGGGATGGCCTAGCCAGTGTTTCTAGCAGCATTATTTGCCACCGTAAGAACATGGAAACAGCCCAAATGTGCAACCACAATCAAATGGATTGAAAAATTATGGTACATTCACACCATGGAATATTATACACCATTCAGGAGCAATGATTTTGTAAATAACTGCCTAACTTGGGAGGGACTGGAGAGCATTATGCTTAATGAACTCATTCCCATAAAGGAGAAATAATATGTATGAACATTATTATAGATCAAGTATGTGAGGATCCAAGGGGTGGAGGGTGGAAGCAGAAGAGTGATGATGGGGAAGGTGTTAATCATAGGGTCACACAATTTGATATGGGGTATGTGAAAGAAATGGGAAAGATGTGGTGTGAAAAAGTGTATACAAACTTTGTAAATAAACCAGTATAAAATAAAAATTTTTAAAAGTAAAAAAGTAAACCCATAATGAATGGTGATGATTGTATGAAACACAACGTATACCAACTTAGTAAGCAAACCAATATAAAGTTAAAAAAAAACCCTCTTTATTTAAATCTCACAGGTTTTAAGAAGACTCACTCAACTATGAATTGTTTTGTAACTTCCATTTTTATTTCCTCTGTATCTTGCAATTTCCTGGAAGTATGTTATTTTCTATATGTGATTGTAGCATTTCCAGATATGTGTGTTGAGTTTCATTTGTTTTATTCATTAGTTTGTTGTTTATTTAAATTGTATTCATTGTAATCAGGTACTGGGTATGTTTGATAGTTTTCCACATTGTTGAGACTTTCTTTGTAAACTAGTATATTGTAAATTTTTGTTAATCTTGCATATACTCTTGAAAATTTGTATTTGCCAATTAAGAGGAGAGTTTTGCATGGAGCTAGTAAATTATATCCATTAAAAATTATTTTTAAAAATGGTCCCTTGAGGTATCACTTTAGGAACAGAGCAAGACCAAGATTTTGTCCAAAAGCTAAGTAAAACCTCTGTATTTGAGATGTAAAACCTGATGAAAATATGTAAAAAAAAAAAAAAGATTCGTATTAAGTAACACTGTATTTCTACTGTGTGGATAGTGACTTTGAGGGAGCATGAGTGGGAAAGAACAATCCTCATAGACACCACTGTCACCTATCCGTAGCAGTCACAGCAGACAAGGAGAACATCTACGGTACTTCTGGTATATAGAATCAGCAGTTCTTGCTAAAAGATTACAGAAGAAATAAAAGGTTTCTAAGAAATCAAAGATACCCACTGGAAAAGTCAGCTATGGGTTGGTTCCAATTTGACAGCATACAACCACAACAACAATCATTACATAGCTATCTCTAATCTTGCCTCAGTGACACTATGTTGTTTTTGTTGTATACCGTGGAGTCAGAGCTGACCCATAGCTATCCATCCATGGGGTATAGGTGTCCATCCATGGGGTTTTCAGAGGCAGTTAATCACATGGAAAGGGATTGCCTATCCTTTTCCCATGCAATAGCTGGTGGATTCAAACCACGTGCCTTTGGGATCACAGTACAGCTTTTGACTACTAGGTCACAAAACATAGGATAATTACATTATACTAAGGGCCATGGCCTACCATGTTGACACAAATTTTGAGGGGACACAATTCAATCCATGATAGTTGGAAAGCAGGGTATTTACTAAGAGAGGAAGATAGGAAGGAGTGAGAGTGTGAGTCAAGGACCATTGAGGATTCACTTTTAGGCATATTAAGTTTGAGTTATTTGTGAAACATCCAGAGTATCAGGCAGACACTTAGAGGTTGGATCTTACTATCAGTCATTGCCATGAAGCCTGAACTGACTCGTAGCTATTCCTTTGTCTGGTATTCAGAGGCTACACCCCTCATGGGAAGACGTTGCCCATCTCTCTCTGGTGGAACCACTTTTTAGATTCAAACCATTTCAGAGGCATGGCCTTTGGATCAACCACACAGCTTCCTATGGACAATGCCACCAGAGCTGCACTAGAGCTCCAGGTTGAGTCTGGGATGGAGATACTAATGTGGGCATGACTAACATAACTTTGGCTTGGAATATATGTGGTTTTCTTAGAGAAAAGTCAGACCTTGAGGAATGCCATTATTTAGAACTCGGGGAGAAAGAAGAACCAATCAAGATGACCAAGTGCCAACAGCCAGTGAGGTCAGAGTCTAGAAGAGGAGGCAAAAGTAAAGGGTGGCTTTGCTGATTCTTATGAGTTGTGTTAGAGGCATGTTGTGTTGGAGGTGGAAGCCACTGCAATTACAACCATATAAAAGCCAGTATTTTAACAAGAAATCAGAAGAGACTTTGTTTTATTTAGTTGGGGAGACTATGAATATATCTCTTGTGAAGTTGTTCTAACTGCAATAACAGTTTTTTTAAAAAGACAAAGGAAAGCATGCAGATTATCTTGGCAAATGAATTTCCTAGCTGGTGATCTGTCAGAGACTGGTTTAAGCTCACAGTGGATCTTTTGGTTTTTTTTTTTTTTGAGAAGTCTGAACTGCTTTATATAAGTGGGAAAAAGACTTGAAACATCTACTGACTCTGGGAATGGTCCCGAATTCTTGATGATGTACTGATTCTCGCAGGTGTGGTATGCTGCATCTTATGCCGAGTTTGTGAACCAGAAAATTCATGACATTTCTGAGGAAGAAAGGAAAGGTGATTAGACTTTTCTTTTTTCTGTATCAGTTCTATATTGTGCATATTACATATTTATGTAACTTATTTTGTCCATCTCAATGTATTTTAAAATATCTAAGGATTTTTACAGTTATACATCTAATTCTACGATCAGTTTGCAATGACAGGTTTATATTTTTTTGGTGAATACTGGAAAATAGTATTTAATATAATGAAAATGTCTAAATATTAAATTAGACCTAGATCAGAAAATTACCCTTAATTTAATAATTTCAGACAATTTAGCAAAGCTGGCTTTAAATTTATTTTAGAAGCAAGTGTTACTGAAACAAAACTTATATACAAAAAAAGTGTACAAATAATAAGTGTACAGCTTGATAAATTTTCACACAGTGAATGTTTCCAGATTGTCCCGTTATTCCTACTCAACCCCAAGAGTAAATGATCCCTGATTTCTGATGCATATGCTTGTTCATGATCTTTATGTAAGTGAAATTATGCAAGGTTTTCCAGTTGTATCTGGCATCTTTAGTTTGACATTTTGTTTATAGGATTTCCCTGTATTGAAGTACTGTACATAATTTGTTCATTCTCATTGCTGTTTGGTATTATTATCTTTGAATATATGTTTGATTATATGCATTTTTCTGTCTGGTTGACTGTAGACGGTAATATGGGCTGTTTCCAGTTTGGGGCTTTTATGAAGAATGCCAATATGAGTATTCCTATCCATATCTTTTGGTGACCATATGGATGCATTTCTGCTGGATGTACATCTAGGGGTGGACTTGCTAGGGCATTGAATACACACACACACACACACACATACACACACACACTTCTGAGCATTTTGCTAAAGTGATTATCTTGGTTGTTAATCTTTTAAAGTTATTCATAACAAATAGATGAACAGGTCATGAATCTTCAGTATGAATCAGTAAGCTGCTTGGATACAGATTTCCATTACAGTACCTTTTGTTTTCTCAGTAAGTGAAGCGGGGTGTGTGTGTATGTGTAATGGTAGGGAGATAGGAGGGAGTTTGTACCTTTTATGAATATGTCAGGAAAAAGATAGTAAAAGCCATTTCTCAAACTTCAGCCTTTGTTGTCATTATACAAAAAAGCTGACACTGTTTTATCTGTGTGACGGACTCTACAAGTCACAGCGGGGTAGGAATGTAGGGGCACTGGGCATGTGGGATATGTTGATGTTTGTCCATCATGGCCTTAATGACTTCTTTCCTTTGAGTTGCAGTTCTTCGAGAACAAGAAAAGAATTGGCCCTGCTATGAATGTAACCGCCGATTCATAAGCTCAGAGCAGCTGCAGCAGCATCTCAATACCCATGATGAGAAACTGGATGTATTTAGCAGGTATGTATAGGGGTAGTTTTCCCAAGCTCAATTTGCAAAAGTCTAGAGTAATTTCTGTATTGCTTAAAAACTAAGAAGTCTTTCTCTCTCTCTCCGCCCCCCACCCCTTGTGTGTGTGTGTGTGTGTGTGTGTGTGTAATGAGAGAGGAGTAACCAAGTAGGTTGTGGAAGAATATATATATTATTTCCTTTTCCCCTGTGTTCTGTTCTTCACTTGCTATTTGATTTGTCTTTTATTCCAAGCAAAACCAATACTCATCAATAGTTTTAATTATGTTAAACAAAACTATTTTTTAATTATTTTTCCCCTTTTTCAAATTATCATTAATTTTAATGAAAATTTACAGACTTTGGATTTCCATTCATTAGTTGTTGCACTTTTCTCCCTGCCCACCCTTCTTTCCTCTCCCCTTTCTCTTTGAAAAGTAAAGGAAAAATTCTTTCACTGTTTTATAATCCCTCCTCCCAGGTCCACTCCACTATGCAGCCTTCGTTCTGGACTCCTATCATGACAATAATACCTAATCACATATCCCTTTTAAATTTCTCCCTCATCTGTTTCAATGTAATATACATAATTTATCCCATCTTTCTCAGTCTCCCCCCAAACCCCGAGGTCAGTCCTGTTTTACAACAGTGGCACTATGCAGTATTTGTCCTTTTGTGACTGAGTTATTTCACTCAGCATAATGTCTTCCAGGGTCACCCAATGTGAATAATATTTCATGAGTTCCTTGTTTTTCAATGCAGCGTAGTATTCCATTGTGTGAATATGCCACAACTTCTCTATCCATTTGTTTGTTGATGGGCACTTAGGTTGTTTCCAACTCCTTGCTATTGTGAACAAAGCCGCGATTAAAATGGGTATGCATCTATCAGCTTGGGTGACAGTTATGGACTCTTTGGGGTATATTCCCAGTAGTGGAATTGTTGGATGAAATGGTATTTCTATTTGCAATTTTTTGAGAAAGTGCCACAACGCCTTCCACAGTGGGTGCACCATTTTACACTTCCACCAACAGTGAATAAGGGTTCCAGTTTCTCCACAAACTCCCAGCATTTGTTGCTTGCTGTTCTGTTAAATTTTGCTATTCATATTGGGGTGAGATATCTCATAGTTGTTTTGATTTGCATCTCTCTTAGAGCAAGGGATTTTGAACATTTCTTCATGTGCTTGCTGGCCATCTGAATGTCTTTGGTGAAGTGTTGGCTCATATCCTGTGCTCATTTTTCAATTGGATTGTTTACCTTTATCTTGTTATGGTGCTCAAGTATTTTATAAATTCTAGATGTAAGTCCCAATCACCAGTGTCTGCTTACAACTGTTCCTACTAGGCATTGGTGATATGAGATGGACTGCCATGGGGCATTTTGAGTCAGATTATCATATGATATATTACTCTGGAGATGAAAAGGTGAGGAAAAATGGGGTTGCTTTCATAGTTTAAAAATGTCATTGCAAAAATAATAAAAAAAGTCATTGCTAGATCCATCTTGAAGTACAGTATTGTCAGTGACAGGATACTATCTATATGCATACAAGGAAGTCCAGTGAATACCACTATCATTCAAATATATGCACCAACAACCAGAGCCAAGGAAGAGGAGATAGAAGATTTTTACCAACTTT